CAGAGGCGTTCGTAACCCGAGGTACCACTGTACTTTGTGTCATATTTTTGCGGTTTTAAAAAAAAAATACATATGGTTCAGAACGGATTAACCGTAATTACACTGAACCTTATGGGAAAATTTGATTCGGGACGCGACCAAAATCGGGTCGCGACCAAATTCGGAGGGGTCAGAATGGATTAACCGTATTTACATTGAACCTTATGGGAAAATTTGATTCGGGTCGCGACCAATTCGGGTCACGATCAGAGTCGCAGAATGAATTAAGTTCATGAACCGAGGTACCACTGTACTTTGTTTCATATTTTTGCGGTTTAAAAAAAAAATACATATGGTTCAGAACGGATTAACCGTAATTAGACTGAACCTTATGGGAAAATTTGATTCGGGACGCGACCAAAATCGGGTCGCGACCAAATTCGGAGGGGTCAGAATGGATTAACCGTATTTACATTGAACCTTATGGGAAAATTTGATTCGGGACGCGACCAAAATCGGGTCGCGACCAAATTCGGAGGGGTCAGAATGGATTAACCGTATTTACATTGAACCTTATGGGAAAATTTGATTCGGGTCGCGACCAATTCGGGTCACGACCAGAGTCGCAGAACGAATTAAGTTCGTGAACCGAGGTACCACTGTATGAGGTTCTAGAGCTGGGGAATTATTCTCAGTCAGAAATTCTTTCAGCATTCCCAACTGAAGTAGCTGATATACTTTTGGAAGACCCTCTGTCTCCAAGGAACAAGTAGAAGAAGTTGCTTGAGAATTGGATTTAGCATACTTACTTGTTAGGTATGTCTTCTAATCTCATAGGCAGTAATTGTTATCTTCAGTCAAGTTGCAGCAGTTAGAGAAAAATTTATTCATTAAGATGCACCCTTGATTCCATTGTTAAGACATATTCAGACAGATTTCTGTAGAAATGTAGAATATTTAGCTGACTGTGGCTAGCCTTCTAGTAAGCTAACATAAACAGATCTTGGCTAGGCTTTCAACAAACAATCATTATATAAAAGGAACAGACAAGTCAAAGCTTATTTGTTCACTCCAAGATTATACACAATAGAATTAATAGATAGGATTGGTCTTCTAGAAAAATAATTATATATTTACTGAACCAACTCCTCTGGTGCCATTATCAGCACATTGACCAAGTGGCTGCCCAGCTTGATCGGAAAAGAGAATTAATATTTAATCATACTACAATTCCACTAATGATATTAAAGGTATTTTTTATGTCTTTCATGTATTTTATGAATGTGTGCATAATGTGATGAAAGGATTGCCTCTATTAATTACAGAATTCCAAAAAAAAATATGTAAGTTTATAACTTGAAATGTAAAGCTATAATACCAAAAGACAATATTCTGGATCCTTCGGTGCTTTATGACTCCTTGACAAGGCATCATATGTAAATATTCTCTTTCTCAGAAATAAACCCTGGGTGATAATGAAGTCAGTCTGTTTAACTGTTTTTGTTCATTACCAAAGGATGAGCAATTGGAAATTTTATCAAGGGTGGAGCCTGTTTTAATAAGTATTTATCTTCTGGCCAAACCTCTTACTGTTTTTTTGCCTCCAGAAACTATACCTGAAAAATTATAGAAAGACAGAAAAAAATGTGTTTTATGGCTTCTGTTGCAAAATGTAATGGGATCTTCTTTCAAGAGTCCTAAGAGGCCCAAAAGTTATATATTGAATCCATGCAAATCAGTCTCTATAAATGAAGACTGTCAAGATAACAATAAAACAAAAAGAATCTGAAAAAAAAACTATTAGTTTTGTCTTATCCAATCAGTTGGCCATTGCTACTATTACATTTAGTATATAATTATATGATCATTAATATCTAACTTCCCCCACAGCAACTGCAGGTAAGGATTAAAGAGAGACTTTTTTTTCAATGATCTCTTTTATGCCAATGTCACCCCTTCAAATTAAACCAGACTACGAAACCAAAGTTATGAATGGTAATACTGCTTTTATTATAAAGTTACAATAATAGAATCTTACAAGTCTGAATATGTTTCCTCCCTCCCTCCCATTATCTTTTTGAGAACTAGGGAAGGTCAAGTCTGAGATAGTTTCTCAAATTACATTTCTGCCTCAGACTCAAATTTCTTTTATCTGACCAATGTCTTGGTTGCAGCTCTTCCTCCTGTTCCTCAAGATTATTCCTACTTCCCATTACATCCAATGAATTAAATTTTATTAATATTGAATTAAAGATCAACTTTCTTTGACTTAAAACTAATCAAAATGGTAGGTGAGGAAATGGACATAGCGAGAAACACTGCATGAACATGACCACATAATGTAGATGTTCTTGATTTTAAGGAGAACTAAAACTGAGCATAGTGAAACAGGTTTCTTGGACTTCCAAAAAGTATATTTTTATTAAAATCACAGCAGTTATAAGTAGCACACAATTCCTGTGAAGAGAAAAAAATGGGGAACAGCAGAAGAAGCCAAAGTGACTATATAAAGTGTTTAATGAGGATTTGAAAATAAAAAAGGAAACTGATGGAAAATTGAAAGAGGACCAAGTCACAAAGGAAAAGGACAGACAGATAACCTAAAACTGTAGAGCTGTGTCAGGAAAATGTTATCTTAGAATAAGCTGAGGTTAGCAAAAGATGTAAACATTGCAAAAAGGACATGGTTAGATATGTTCAAAATAAAAGAAAAAGAAAAGCATCAGTATATCATTTGCTCAGTGAAGATGCCAAAGTGCTAATAGTTAACAAAGAAAAGACTCCTATTTTGGTTCAATCTTTTCTAACAAAAAAGAATATGCTCCATCAGAAAACTCTGACAAGCAGGATGAAGGGGCTGAGTTGAAGCTTGAGAACTATAGAAAAATGATCAGGAACCACCTCTTTATTTTTAATGAGTTTAAATCTCCAAAACCAGATTAATTTACATGCTTTGGTACTGAAGGAAATAGATAATCTTGTATTATATTTAAGAAATTTTGGAAGTGCTAGAAAAGAATCAGGAGAAGAACAAATGTTTTTCCTATCTTCAAAACAAGAGAAAAAGGAAAATAGACCAACCAGTCTGACACTGATACATGGGAAAATTCTAGAGCAGATCATGTCAGATCTTTGAAAACTATGTGGAAATTACCAGATGTCAGCATGGATTTGTCAAGAACAAATTTTGCTGGACTAAACTTATCATATGTTTTGACTGAATAACTAGAACATTTGACATTCTGATTAGCAAGCTAGTTATGTGGACTAGTTGGCATGTCTATTAAGTGGGTGCATAGCTGGCTCAAAATCATACCCAAAGGGTTTTTATTAGTGGTTGCTCATCAGATTGGAGAAAGATATTAAGTTGGGTCCTAAGCCCTTTATTCTTTAATATTTTCATCAATTACTTGGATGAAGAGGTGGAGGAAATGCTTGGCGGATTTGCAGATGACACAATGCTAGATAAATTTGATTAAATGGGTGGAGGGAGCGTTCAACACATTTATAAGTGACACGAAGGTAGGTAGGATAGTTAACATTTTAGAAAATAGAAACAAATTTCAAAATGACTTTGAACGGTCAGGGAAGTGGAGGGAAAAGTAACAAAATAATATTTAACAGATCAAATGCAACTATTTTCATTTATTAAAAAAGAATGAAACACACAGGTATAGGACTGGGAAATAATTGTATTGGTATTGTTATGTGTGAAATATGTGTCAGCTGTATAGCATGACCTCTAAAAGGTAAAAGCAATTTTAGGCTGCATCAATAGAAGTTTAGTTTCCAAATCAAGAAAAGTAATAATTGTATTGTTGAAGGCTTTCATGGCCAGAATACAATCAAA